TGTTTGTTTTAAAAGGCAACACCTTCTGCTCTGGCCATTTTAAGTTGATATAAAAAAAATTTGAAATTGGAAATCGTGTGCTGCTAGTATGTATGGCTTTTGTTAGTGTACAATAAAATGGGCATTCTGAAGAATGCTTTTAAAGAGGAGACTCTGACCTTTAAGAAGTTTTTCTGAACTCTTTTTATTTTTTCCAAATAGGGATTCTCAGGCTTCTTTTATGATTCTTGCTGGTTGTAAGAACCATCCTAGGTCTGAGCAAAGAGACTGAGATGGGGTGGGGAAGAGGGCAGAAACCAAGCACCGTTCCTGGAATTAGGGGCTTTTCGTCCCTCCTCACTGTTTATCTATTCTGTACCACTCAGCTGTTCTCTGTTGCACAGAAATAAAAGTTTAGTTTAAAAAGTATGTTAGAACAAAGCTGCAGAAATTGCCTGGAATTTCCTTCATTTTCAGCCATCTGGCTCTCATTGCTTACTCTGCTCCCCTCCTCCACATACATTTACCAAATCTTTTCAACACACGCTGGCCAAGCTATCAAATGCTTATAATTAATAACAGCCATGCACTTTTTTTTAAAGGTAGTGCTTTCTGGTTTTCCTTGGGCTGCTCATGTCACTGCTGTTATAAACCAGGGAGATAGTTAGCGAGTGTAATTAATAAAAGTTAGTCGAATAAAAACAACATCAAATTTAAGTCTTAAAAGTCTACAAAAATCATGCTTTCTTTTAAACTAGAAGCATTTCACACACACACACACACACAAAAAAAAAAAAAAAACAGAATGAAAGAAAAGGAGAAGACAATGATTGCTTGATTGATGATTATAATGATATTAATGATTATAGTGACTGCTATAATCCTATTTTAAAGATGAGGAAAGTGAGGATCCAAAAAGGTATATATGACCTCTCAAAGGTTAGAAAGCTAAAAGTAACAGAGCAGGACTTGATCCTGGGTCTAAATGTATGTTCTAGTCTTTGTATTTTGAGAATCCCAGGGATGTGAAAAATCTTTAGTGAACAGTATTAAGTTAAAAAAAAAAATCAGGTTGCTGGACAATACATGCAATGAGATCTCATTTATAAAAGCCTCATTGATACAGGTATAAAACCTTATGTAATTGTAGATGCTCATGTATGTATTCATAGAAAACCCCCTAAAGTACACGCACCAAGCCATTAACAGTGGTTACCTCTGAAGAGGAAAGAACTAGAACCTAAAGTATGGAGGTAAAAGAGGAGCATAAACCTTGGTTTTTTGATTAATCCTGCTCTGCTTGAGTTTTAACCAATCAGCCTCTTTATGTGTTACCTGTATAATTAATAATTAGAATACTTAGATAACTTTTTGATTAGGAACAGGAGGTGACTTCTTTCCCAATGATGGGTCTTAATTTGTTTGGGGGTATTTCTTCCCTGAGCCTGTCTAAGGCACCACTGAAAGGCTGGCAAGGTAGTGTGGCTTCTGGACACAAAGTCCTCAGACAGTGGTAAAGGTGCACAGATGATTTTTTTGCCTCCTTGTATTGATAACTCCTTGCCATCAACTTTAAAGGAAAATTCTCATTGGTGATTCACAGGCAAAAGTGGTCCTAATTTCTTATGGCCAATGTTAGGCAAGGTCGTGAAGAGATTACCATCTACCCTTCACCCAGGACCTTCCATCCTTCTTGACAATTACACTCCTCTCTGGGTAGTGCTAGCAATTTCCTCAACCTTTAGTGCTCTCCCTTCCGTTGCCTTTATATGCTTGCTTTGGGGATACTTTGCTGTACATGGCTGATAACATAAAAGCTTATAATCCTAAGACAATTTATATTTTGGTATTTCAATATTTGATATTTATATATTTGGTATTTAAAGGCATAAAGGAAAGGAGTCCAAAAATGGTATTTTCAGCATCAAGTGGAAGAGGGGAGAAAAGGGGATGAAGAGGGGAGCACTGAGGTCTTCCAGCTACTGATAATAACAGGACCTAAACATTGCAACTTACAAATACGGCCCTACTCCTTCCTATACACTTAATAAATAAATACTTAATAAACACCTGCTATATGTCAATTCCCAGATGCTTGGGATAGAGAAAGGAGGAACAAGGCATAAAACTGATACCAAAGACTTTCAAATCTAGTCTTCTTCAACAGAAAATCACTACTTAAAAAATTACCCTAAAAATGTAAGCCTTACTCACGGGCACATACATGCCCACGTCTATACATACTCACAGACTGGAAAAAGTAGAACCCCTTCAGCTTGAGAACACATCCTTCCTGCTTTGGATAACCAGATAGGACGATGTCATTGTCTAAACCTGGTGAAAGTCAGACATGTGCTTCTGATACAAGCTTTGACCACACAGAGCAAGTCAGGAGAAGTCAAGTTTAATTTTAGAAATACAGCTCCAAAAGTCAGATCTCACTCTTCAGAGTCCTTAATACACTCCTTAGGATCAGATAACTCTGGCCATATGCAAGAGGTAAAATGGCTTCTTCACTAGTGCTCAGCAGGACTAATAACTGCCCAGGAAGGGTCTTATCTTAACCTAGCACCACTTCAGAGGCAAAAGTCAAGACCTGCAACATTTCTAAATGTCCCAAAGAAAATGCTATTCTTTCTTTTAAAAACACATGGATATCAGCACAGACCAAGAACCTAAAAGATCACATACATAAAGTTAGGACTCATTAGAAGACACACCAACATGCAGAGGAAACACTGAACCATGTGGAACAAGAATTGTGAATCAAAGATCTAAATCACTCCCCACTGGATGGAAGGTGCATGGAATAAATGGTGCGCTATTAGGCCTCTATCAAACACATTTCCCTTTCTGCATATATCTTGCACCAAGGAGAGTAGAAAGACAGATTTTTTTCCCCTGATATTAGACTAAAATATTCCACAGGAGAGGTGCCTATATATTTCTCACTTTTAAGATGAAAATCAACTTTGGCTCTCAGGTGGGAAATGAAGGGAATGAGTACTATCTGATTGCTCTACTTTGCCCACCTTAAAGTTTTAATTAGCATCATTCTACAGATACTTGCCTGTGTACAGTAACCCAAGAAATCTGTGGCCATTGAGAGGTCTTACCATAGCTGGGTGATGGGAAATCAACGATTATTTAGAACAAACATAATCCTGCTAACCTAACAATTGTCCTTGAGTCAATAAAAAGGTCACAGAGTGAATTAGACTTATCAATCACAGTTAGTACTTTGAGGATGGGAAATAACACCTTCTGTTATATTCCTTTTATTGAACAAGGAAGGAGCAGGTGAGTGGTCACAAACCCCAGGAGTTTTCAACTAGTCTTAGCACCAACTCCTTGGCAACGTCTCAGCTCATCACAGCATTTGGATGTTACCACAGCACTGGAATGAGGTTAGAAAAGACCCTTCTTGTTTTTTAAGTGATGATAAATAAGAACAGAAATGATAGCCATTATCAGCACAATGAAGCAGGAGTCGCGATCTGATGCTTCTGCTTACAGAAAATTGAAGAATCATGGGATCCTTGAGCAGGACATGGTGACCTCAGATCATCTTTACAACATAAATGTGGAAAGAGAGAGTGCCACACAGCTAATTGGTGACAGAAGAAGGTGATAAGCCAGGCCTCCTGACCTCCTAGCCAACGGCCTTGCAGGCTGTCCATGCTGGATCTACTCCACTGTATTCAAATATAAGTCTGCACCCTTCGCTCAAGCACTTGAATCTTGGGCTCACTGAACTAGGAGCTATTAGGTTAGGAGAGATTTGGGACCACATGAGGGAGGTGATAGAAAAGGAGATTACTTAGGATTCCATGTACTGGATCTGAGCTTTGCTTGGTCCAGCCCTGGCTCTGTTTCACTGGCTGCTGTTCTTATGGTGGGGAAGGGGATCCTGCTCAAAGAAGTGGCTGTTTTCTGGTTGCCATGGACAGTGTGGCATGAGTGGCTCTCTCCACTTTTGTATGAAGGGGAAAGCCCAGGACCACCATTCTGATGAAAAATCGAACAATTCTGATGATGCGCAGAAGTGTCACTATGGGAGTGTGTCCTCATATGATTGATAAAGGCCTGTGATCTGTCTCTTTGAAGTCACAAAGAAAGGCCTCGAGCTGGATGAGAAATAAGACAAGAAGCACATAGGCTTAACCAGCAAACTGTTGTTAATGCCTGAAAGCAAATTCTGCTTCTCGTGATATACCTTGCAGAAGGAGGAGAAACGTCACTCAGAAATAGCATTCCTTTCATATCTAGGCTATGAGCTCATCCAGGCACATTCTTCATTCCATCAGCAGATTTGAAAGTCTGGCTTTGGTTCTTTAAATGTCTCCAAAGCAGAATCATAGAGGATAGTTGCTCAAAAAGAAGTATCTAAAAGGCAAATTTCTCCAGACACCATAAAATTGTGTGGACTGAAGCAGTGATTGGATTGATTAACTAAGACTCAAAGTTGGGCAATAATGAGACCCAGGCAGGGCCAAACAATGAAATGCTCTAATTGATTTTACGCATGTGGAATGAACACACATACCCCAAAGCGTGCTATAATGAATCTGCATGCTGTGTGCCTACAGATTTCACAGTGGGTCAATTATACCACCCAGATGCTTCAGTTCCTTAGACCCTATAAGTCACAAGTCAATTCATTACTATGGTAAGAGGGCTTGGGACACAGGCTAAAAGGCGACAGAGTCTATGAAGTCTGTGGTCAGTTCACTTTGCCTTTAGGGGAAAGCAACAATGTGGCACGTGCACATACCAGCCATGCCATAAGGCTCACTTCAGTGCATGAAGCCTTCTGGACTCTGTGCATGACCATTGATTGGGCTGGAATTCCAAAGCCCTGGTTTCAATTAAATTTAAGTGGATTTGACTGAAAGTTTGAACTGATGCTAATTGGTTTTCAAAACATTGGGTAACAATAAGTGTTCTGGTCTTGCCCATGGAAAGATGCACCCAGTTCTGCACACACTCCTGGCTGGCAGGGCCGGCAACTTGTCCCTTACCTTGCTGGGCAAGGACCCAAATTGCAGGATTTCAGGAGCTGTGGGGGCCGGCGGCTGGTCACGCACAGGTTCTCATCAGCAAGCTCCCGAGTCTGTTTGTTCAGGCAGCTCACTACAGCCTCCTGGACACCTGTGTACAGATCACACTGTCAGGCCATAGTGCAGAGGGTGTGTGTGTGGGAGTGATGAAATGTAGACAAGGCAAGCTGGTGGGAGGTCTCTGTGATCAGTAGGACTCTCCCTACATGTGAGAGGCAACAGTTAAAAGCCCAGGCCTGCCAATCTTGTCAACCCTTACTCTGTCCAGGGTTGAGAATGTAGCTGAGTGGTAGAGCATTTGCCTAGCATGCACAAGGCTCCAGGTTCAATCTCCTGCAAAACACACCCATGAGTGCATGCACACGCACACATATAAACCCCATACATGTGAGCGCGCGTGCACACACACACACACACAGGTTGATCTGAAAGGAGGAACTCGTGCTTGTGGCCACTATAAGCATGCCCCTTGAGAAGGGCAATTCTTCCCAAAGACAGGCTGCTACCAACACTGTTGAAGTGCTTAAAAATATGCCACCAATCTATGCAACCACCATGCCGAAATGTCATCATTTCATGCAGAAAGAGCACAGGGTAAAAGAAACCAAATCTAACAAAAAACTGCAAAGCTCTTCACACATTCAATCAACAGGAGATTGTTGTATTGGAAGGGAGGCCAAAGGCCACAGCTTAATATCTAACTTTCTATAAACTGATGTGCTCTTAGGGTCTTGTATCCAGGATGTCAGCCTCTACTGGTTTTCTTTTGATTCTGGCTCATTTCTGTAGGGAACTAGGCAACTTTGGAAGCTAGAACAAGAAGAATAAGAAGCATAATAATGACAGGCATGGTAAACAATCTTTCCATTCATACCTGCACACCTGAATTGGCAATAGTAAAACAGGACTTTGAGTAATGATTAGTACAAGTCTTTCAAGGTGTTCTGCCAGATCCCTTATGGAGACTTTCATAAAGCATGGAAACACATTCATGGATTGATGGAATACTTCATTCTGCTACCTGCAGTCATAATAACAATAGTTAACATCTACAGAGTGCCTGTTACTAGGCAGGTACCACAGCTGAGGGCTTGACACACAACTCTTTCAACAATTCTGCAAGATAGGTATTATTTTTATGCCCACTTTACAGAAATGGAAACTGAGGTTTAGAAGGGTAAAAAGACACGTCTAATGTTATACAGTTGCTAAATGTTGAAGTGGAGGTTGATTGCGCCCTTAGCATTGCCTGAGAGCATTATCATTTAAAAATACTAAGAGGCTGTCATATCTGTTTCCCTAGAGATCTTCAGAAATAACCTAGACATGTGTCTGGAATCATTTCAGCAGAGTTCAGTTTAAGAGACAAGACATTCTTGCTAATTTGCTATCATCCATACACAGTTATATATATATAAAGATACCTACATCTAAAGATTATCTATCTATAATTAGATATTTATATATATGGTTATAACATAGTCTCACTATCCATGTAGTTATTTATGTACATACTTGATCTCTTTTTATCTTCTGCATTTCTTCATCCAATGGTAGCAAACATAACACAAACTGTCCCAATGCTTGTTAGCTCTATCACTGTCCTTCCCCTTTCACGCCCTAGGTTTCTCCGAGCCAATCTCATCCCATCAACAGGATAATGCTTCCTAAATTGATGTTAAATTGATCTAGGTTGCTCAGCAACACCATCTTTTAAAAATTGGCATTTTAAAGCCAGGATCCAAATCAACTTACTTTTTTTTTTCTAAGTCTGATAAATCAAACATGTTTTTGGTCTCAATCATAGGATTTTTCTGTGGCCACGATGGGATCTTTGCATTTTCTTTCTTCTATGTTTTTATCACTTCAAAATTTAATTGGATCCTTGTTTGATGCCTACCATCCACCACAAAAAAATTTAATTTGCCTATGTGATGGCCCTTTCAAGGTAGAGAATTTGAGATTCGCACTAGATATTCAAATTACTCCACCATATTCTGTAATGCTGACAGTATGATGATTTCTATGAGTGAACCATTTGGAATTCATGGTATGATGATGCAGCAAAACAGCTCCCAAGAAACTGTTGATATCATCACTTATTTCCCACTGGATCCTTTTGGCATCAAGGTCAGGATGATCAGCCACTGAATATAGCTGACTATTCCATATAGAATCTAGAGCTGTGGTTATGCTAAAAATGAAGTTTTCTATTCATTTGCTTACTTGGTAGTGTTTAAGAAATTTGAAATGCTGCTCTAAAATAAGATATAGTTTGACTTTATTCAGCCATGGCAGGAAGGGACCACGGGGCTTGACACATACCTGCTATTGGAATGAAGTGTGTGAGGGATGGGCTGTTTCCATCCACTTGATGGACTCTTTAGCTATAGAATTTAGGTTCTTCTAAGACTGCAAGGGATGGGGGTAAGAGCTAAGTTTCCAAAAGGGCATCAGTAATCTCCTCTCTTTGCTATGTAAAACACAAACCTACATTATTGCCAACCATTAATCATAGTTACAGATAAAGATCACCATGGGGTGGCTAAGTGCTGAGATTAGGAAGCATTCCAGAGTTACTAAATTCTAATCCAAGGTATTATAAAACAATGTACTAGGCCCCTGCAACACTGTGCTTTAAATCTCTTGCCACAGGCCAGCTGTCTCTGCATTCTTAGGTGGGGCCTGAGGTGTGGGGAAACCCACAACAGAAGTTCTGTCATAATTAAGGAGTATCTGGGACCAGTTTTTTTTTTGTTTTAAAATCAATACATAGTAAATTTTTGTAGGATGAAAAAATATGATGGGTAAAGAGCAGGGTATTCTAAGCAAGTAGACTGTTAAGGCAAATGGGAACTTTGAGGGCAGGAGCCTGGAGTAAAGGAGCTGCCCTGGAAAGAGGAGCTCACCTTTGGGTTCACCCATACCTGGCATAGGAGAGACAGGCAAGGATGGGAGAGGTTAGCTCAGTAAGTTTGTGTTCTTTCCAGAAGGGTTAACATATGCCTTGAAATGGAAACTTTTAACTGAACAGAGAACCCATGTGTAAGTACAGTTCCTTACAACTCTGGGCTTTCCTTTCTTTCTTCCTTTCTCTCCTTTTCTTCCACTTTTTTTTATTGGTGCATTATAGTTGTACATGATGGTGGGATTTGTTGTTACATATTTGTACATGCACACAACATGGGTTTTCCTTTCTTGACAAGCCAAAGGAAAGAGGAGCCACAGGTACAAGTTTTCACCTTCCATTTTTACTAAGGTCAGTTTCAAGTTTTCCCCCAGATAGATTTAAATTTGAGTTTCAGCATCTAGGAGTTCAACTCAGCTGCTCAGGTTCAAAACTGCTGTCCTTGACCACACCTATCAATTCACTTGTGGGAAATTAAAATAGAAAAAAAGAGATAATAGTAGGACAAAGGAACAGATCTGAGCAGGTTAGGCTCACTTTCAGTTTTCCAGAAAATGGGATTTTCTGTGTTTATATCTCCAGAACTGCATAATTGTTACATGATATTTGATATTTGATGACAGCTTAGCAAACACATTACTAACTAGTTCCTTCCGGTTACTACTTCTTCTAGGTGAAAGGTGACTTTTGTGTCTAGCCAATTTCATCTCTTTGAGATTTCAGAAACAATACGATTAGCCTGACTGGCTGTACAACCCAAAAGTGATTTAATATCTATTTGTTAATCCTGTACAGGGTCGGTTTCAGCAAGAATGATTTAAGAATATATTTAATCTTGTGGGTTATACTTTGGTGAAAGATCAAAATTGACAATACAATAAAAACTTACTGCTAAACAATGGCTTGAAAATACATGACCCATATATTGAACTAATTTGTTAGTGCATATGGGCATTGTATAAGACCATTTAACCCAATTACATTTTCACCACTTTGGAATTTTCAACTCTTAACATTTCAGGTATAAATATATTACCTTGGCACAGTGTTGTAACTGTAGGTAAGTGTGATCAATTGATGACAATTAAAGACCTAAGGAATTTTAGTAACTTTACCCTTCCTTAGATGTAAAGGATGTATAATTTTTGTTATACAAAGACACTCAGATCCTACAGGTAGAGATCAATTGTGTATCCAACATTTGAATCTTATTTCTAAATCAAATTCTTCTGAAAACACTTAAAATTAATACATTCCACTCTGGACTTTCCGTTTTAAACCCCTGGTTGGTCAGTAGAATGGATTGACTCTTAAAGATAAAGGCATCCGGTTATTTATATATTCCATTACTGCATCTATTTTTTCCACCTGCTCATAAAGTTCCAGGCTTGACTTGTAACCGAGAGCCATAACGGAGAGACCATAAATACTTTTTTTTTTTTTCAAAGCACATTTGTTTTTGACTAGAAATAATGATCATTCAATTCAGGTGATCTTGGAAATTGGGGCTAAAAACACAACCATCTGAACTCTGAGTCATTGCTCAGAGTAGAAAGGAACAACTGCAGCCATTCCTTTGGGCCAGGGCCACAGCTCTTCCCCCTGACTCTCAGCTCTGCTGGGGCTCACAGATCACCAAAGCTTAAAAAACACACTACTCTCTCATTAGGCATAGAAGAAAAAATGTCCTGAAAATGAGTGGAAGGATGGCACGTGAAAACAGTTAGATCAGCTGAGTTCCGAGAAACTGTCTCCCAGAATTTTTTGGAAGAATTTAGGTTTTAAGATACCAGGGATTTCCATTAAATCACTCTATAATTCCAGGGTTGGAAACTGGAAGATCAGAAACAAACAAGAACTTCAGGGTCAGAACTACTAAAAGTTTAAAAAGACCTGCTGGATTAAATGGATTCTTTGCTGGTACTTATTCCATTATTCATTCCTTTAGAAGAGTTTCTCAAATGTCATGGTTTAGAAAACAGTTTTGGGAAATAATTTGCATACTTTATTTCACCAGCAAAGGAAGAAATTTGCTGGGAATGTGGAATCTCAACATGTCCAAAGGGGTTACCGATGACCAGCAAGAGGGATGTGACAGGACATCAGTGGCACTTCCTAACCTATCAAAATCTCTCTTGGGAGTAGGTGCAAGACAGTGAGTGATAATATGAATTTAAGGCAGTTTCAACAGTGGTGAGAAAGATCATGATCTTAAAGAATTGATTTTCTGTCACAATCCTGTTTATAACATCTGAAACAAAAAATTACTGAAGACATAAGCTAATCAGTTTGGTTTAATATTTACAATGTATTGTAATATTATAATGTATACATATATTGAAACATCTAGGTACCCATAAATGAGTGGTTAATTAAGTAATTAAAAAAAATCACTATGTAAGCTACTTGTATGTCACCATAGAGTATACTCAAGAGAACCAGATGAATGTACCTGGAAATGTTGGCCATTAGTTGAATAATATTTATAATAAGAAAGCTTTAGGAATTCTCTACATGCTTGAAGTGTGGTGCATGTAAAGATTGTAGACAGAGAGCAGCAGCTTTGGCCTAGTCCCAGCTCTGTCACTCACTAGCTGTGAGGTCTTGAACAAGTCACTTCGCTCTTTTGCATATCATTGCACAATGGAGTAGGGTTTGGCTTTGATCATTAAAATCTTTTCCAGCTCCAGGTATGCACTGTGCTGGATAATCTTTACACTGCCTTTCCCTTTCTTTGGAAAACCAGCTGAGTAAATTGTAAGGACCCTAACCTGTTCTTGAGAACAGCAGAGTGTGGTGGTGTACTTTGGGTATTAATTCACACACACCACACACACACACACACACACACACACACGGAAGCAAGAGCTCACATAAACAAGTCAATATTGAGTACAAAACATCAGAATGACAACTGAAAGCAAAGGCATTAGTTGTTGGCCACTCACAGCTGACAGCCTGGGGCCACTCAGCAGACACAGAAATCAAATCTATTCATTCGATTTACACTTGCTTTACCTTTAGAATGGCTGCCTCCCTTTCTGGCCCTGCTAATCATTCTTGATATAGAGGCAATCACATGACACAGTTGCATGCAGGGAAAGAAGAGACAGAAAAAAAGATGGGGGTGTCTGAGCCAGGGGCTCTCTCCTTACCTCCTCCACATGACTCAGAGCACTTGGTGAACCCTTCATACTCCCAGTCATACAGCTCATCCAGTTCCTGCAGGCCACCCAAGAGCCCATCTGTGGAGTCCGGGTTAAACTCAGGAATTTCCCCATTGCAAGGTCCTGCATAACAGGCACGCTGGGATGCTGGCTTGGGCCCTTCGCACTCATCCACCGGCAGGTCAGCCACGGACTGAGAGAAAGACAGGAGCACTTGGCACTTGACTACTCGCACCTGGGTCCCCATACCACAAGTGACTGTGCAGGCCGACCAGGCCTCTGGGATGAACCTGCAGTCGGCAAGCAAACAAGGGGACAGGATAAGAAGCGCAAGGCAGTAGAGAGCTGGGGTTGTGAGGGGATGCATGGCACCTGCTTCTGCTGCCCAGAGCTGGCTCAGGATGTGCCCAGAGCTCCTCCACCCTGTCCTGTGATGGGAGCTTCAGTTTAGTTCATGAGCTCACTGGCTACTGATTCTGGATTGCTTGCTTCATGTCATGTGAACTCCCAGCTGCAAGACATTCCTGCCACAGACCACCTGCTTACTCAGGGCTCTGCACCCACAGTGGTAGCTCTTCAGAGCAGGGAATTGGTGATTCCTTTCTTCGCTCTAAATCCCAACACTTGTGCCTCTTGCATGATACTGGCTATTCTTAAAGCAGACTAACACTGATACTAAAAACTATTACAGAATAAGCTCTGGGAGATATTTAAGGAAGATTTTTTTTTTTAAGCCTGGATCTCATATTCTGTAACTTTCTTTGCTTTTTACTCAATGTGCTTCTTAAGATTTATTTATATTTATAAAAAAGAGGTTTTTTGTTTTTTTTTTTGTAAGTTTCCAAGAATGGTGCAGGTTTCTTCCTCACACATTCTTTGAATTAGTCTGAACTCCAATTCTTTTTATATCATAGTGAAAAGCCATGCTACAAATTTAAATCCACAGGCATGTGTCAGTAAATGAGAGGTTCTGCATTCATATCAGTTTGTTCAACGTCTTCCTCCCTCCACCCTGAAAGAAGCTACACCAGGAAGAATTTGGTTTTTCTCTGAGTTCTACAGAATGTAGGAAAATATCCAAATTAAAAAAAAAAGTTTTTCCTCCCCATTAATCAACCATGGCCATAACTGTAATGACCTTGAGAGGGGCCTAAGGGGGAAAAAACCCAGAGGGAATCACTAACTTTTCCAAAAAGTTAGTAAAATAATCTGAGGAAAAAAACTATGGAATTTTTTTCCCCTCATGATTCTAATGCTTTTGCACAGGGAGTCATGCTGGGAAGGCATGCAAACCTGGCTTCTTAACCTTGACTTTGGCCAAAAAGAAAAGACTGATAACACAGTTACGGCATTAAATCCTAACAAGTGCAAATGGTTTATATCTAGTTCAGGAAAACTGAACTTCTAACAGCAAACCCGTGCAACTTTTCATACTGGAAAGAATATAACAAAGATGTTTGCTGGCCTAAGCCTGGGCTTTATGTGCAACAGAGGTGGTCTGGCTGGGAGAGCCAGCCTTTCCTAAAGCATACATGCTGCCCTGAAGCCCAGCAAGAGACCTTTCAGGAAGGACTTGACCCCAGCTACCTTTGAAGAGGAATACACTAGGAGAGAACAAAGATTATCATGGCCTGTCAGAAGGGTGGGTGAGGATGGGATGGCCACCCAGAACTGTTCCTAAGAAATTGTCATCACAATTTCACCTCCCCCCTCTGTTTTTGACTTCTTTATCTTCTGGTATGTAGAGATCTTGGGGCAGGGAAATAGTACCCTAAAAGACTAAAAAGTCTTTTCTCCTTAGGTAATGCTACCTGTAGGAGCTTGTTGGAAATATAAAATCAAAATCTGAAAACCATTTTAAATCTTTTATTTGCAGGGGTTGGGGTTGTGCTCAGTGTAGAGTGCATGTGTGAGGCTCTGGGTTCAATCCTCAGCACCACATAAAAATAAATAAAATAAAGGTATCGTGTCTATCTGCCAAAAGCAACAACAACAACAACAAAAATCTCTTATTGCACATTCATTCTGAATATGCCTGATTCCTGGAACAAGAGATACACAAATACATGAGCACTGATTTTATAACACTGGTGTAGACATGAAGGTTCACATTTAGCTATTCCATACATAAGACAAATGACTTGCCTGACAACTTTAATGACAGTGTAACGAATAGTGCTTCTTTAATAATGTAGTACCAACTTTTGTTTTTATATAGAAAACAATTGCACCTTATTAATTTTTCCAACAATAAAAAATATTGTTTTATCACTTGTAATAGCCCTCCTCAATGACCAACAGAACAAGGGTCAGCAGACCTTTCCTGTAAAGAGCCATACAAAAAATAACTTTGATTATTTTGGCCATGCAGTTTCCATTGCAAGGACTGTTGCATGAAAGAATCACACAAGTGAGCAGGGGTTAACTTCCAATAAAGCTTTACTTATCAGACTGGGGCAGGCACGAGGGATGATGGAAGGGTCTGGATCCAGTCTGTGGGTTGTAGTTTCCCTGCTACAGAATAAAACGTTTGGTAGGGATGCCACACACATTGAGATTCATAGGTAATCCCCAAACTTGTGTTAGGTCTTAGGGTTCTTCTCTTTTTACATATATATATATGTTTATAAAATTATAAGTAATTAACTTTATATGTTTGTGCTTTATGTTCCAAAGCAAGTCCCAGATGAAATCTAGAACCTAGATGAAATCTAAAATGCAAATTGATGTGCAAACTGCACCCTCAGCTCCCCTTGTCTACAATATGAATGATTTTGCATTTGCTCTCTTTCCAGAACCAGGATGATACACTAAAAGCACACAAAGTAGAAAAAAAACCTGCTACTGAAGTCTCATGCACTTATTATAGTAGATGAAATGTTAATTTTAAAGCAATACATTTAAGACATATATCTTATATATTTCACATGTACATACATATGTGTGTGTATATAAAATGTATACATGCCTGTATGTGTATCTATGTGTGTGTGTGCAGTTTGACTTTGTGGACATTTAGGGTTAATAGCAAAAAAACAATAAACATCTGCTTTATGTTTCCCAAATGAGAGTCTTATCAAATGTAAAACAGCTTCACTGGCATTTTGCCCAACCCATTATCTGTAGGTCTTTGTCAGGTTCACACCAATTAAACACAATTTGGTTTTTAAGTGGTGCTGTCTTTTGGCAGTCATCTTAATTTCTCTAGTGCGTACACTGTATGATATAATATATTCTCTCTTGTTGAAGGCAGGAGATTATATTTCAAAAGAAAAATATCTGATAGTGCAAATGGCTAAATGAATAATAACTGCTTTTCTTATAAAGCTTTCCCCCATGTCCCTAGGTCTCCCAACTCTCTATTTACTATCTTGAGTTTTCTGCCCACAAGTGGGAGGGAGCAAGGTCAGTGAGAGGGCAGGCAAGTTAGAAGGCTTAAATGTAACTTTCAGAAGTCTCATCTTGAATAGCACTTGCTGGGCTAGAACCTTTAATGTGGATCATATAAAACGGAATGCAATCATTTTTGTTTTGTTTTCTTAAATCAGTATATTAATCATTTTGATGTAAAAATATACAATAAGAAGACTCTTATTACTGAAGTTCAATTTGGGTAATTTAAAAGTTCTTTCTGCTAGCAGTTTTACTGCCAGATGAATAAAAACTGGTCAAGTGAGTTCTTTAAAAAATGGGTAGAAGCATTAGAAGGGATGATATTATTTTGACATTTAGTTTTCCCATCTCTAGGAAGTTAACAAAAAAAGACACACCTGGCAAATGAATAATCTATGTTTTGATCTGGTCATCTATATGCAAGCTTAATTATTCATTCCATAAACAAAAAGCTTATGATTTACTCAGTCATTACCATAGTCCCATTTATGAAACAGAAAACAGTATTACTTAGTCATTACCATAGTCCCATTTATGAAACAGAAAACAGTAACAATCAAATTCACTTATAAAATTCCTAAGTGGTTTATTAGTAGCTATTATTGAGTCAGAAGCATTCAATAAAATGATAAAAACCAATTACTTTGTTTAAAAAATGCTAAATAATTGTGGCTCAGTGGTAGAGTGCTTGCCTGGCATGTGTGAGGCCCTGAGTTCAATCCTCAGCACTGCATGTAAAAAATAAATAAATAAAAGATCCATTGGCAATTAGAAAAAAATATTTTAAAACATTCTAAATAGAAACAAGGTACTCTTAGTTAATTAGTCTCAAGTCACCACAGATAATAGCCAGAGCGGGAGGCTCTTAGATACATGGTCTGTAATTAACAATTAACTTTCCCCTTTTCTCTCATTACTTTCCTCCCTTTTGCTTTCCCATATATCTGTTTGAAAAAAAAATTGGGGGCAGGGTTGTTATACAAAATCAGAATAGCTTAGCAGGTGTGTTATTTTGATGCATGACAGTCTCAGTCTCATGCTCTAGTTTCAAAATGGAAATTAAAATTTGCAGGGAATCAGATTAGAAATACTGGATTTTGGTAATTTTCAGTCGTATTAAATTTTTGAACCTGTGAATCTAGAGTAGAAAGAAGTCTAGATGATTTCTTGAGTAAAAAGAAATCTAGATGATTTCTTTTTACTTTTGGTGTATGTTTATGTATGAAAGTGGGGGCATGATAGTACAGTGAGGAAAGAGGAGGAATAAATTGTGAAAAACTTTAAAATGGACCCAAAAGATTACTATCCTGTTCAGTGCATCCTTCCTAGTTATCTTAGCCTTTCATTGATTTTGAGCTATTTTTATCATTTATAGTTGTAGAACACTGATAATACAAATGATTCATGCCACATTTTTATAATGTGGATTAACTGTGTTTACCTGGAACACAGTTGATTGTCGCTCTGCAGATAGACTCATTTTGCATCTATTTCAAAATTCATTTTAGCATTCCTATTTACCTAAATATACACGATCTTAAAAAATTTACTTTGAATTGGTTTTAACATCTTACTGTTTCCTTCATTAGTCAATGAATCACAGTAATCTCTCTTATTCTAGGTTTCACTTTCCACAGTTTCAGTTAGCCATAGTCAACTATGGTTCAACAATATTACATAGAATGTTCTGAAATAAATAATTTATAAAATTTAAACAACTTTTTATTAGAGCATACTAGTATGATTTTTCTATTTCATTATGAAGTTATTGTTGTGACTCTGACCACAATTTATAAATTAAGCTTTATCACATAGGTATGTAAGTATAGGAAAAAAATGTGTGTGTATATCTATCTATCTATCTATCTATCTATCTATCTATCTATCTATCTATCTA